GCTATTTTGAGAAGACATGATTGCTTTATTAGTATGCTTGGAGTATTATTGTTTTTATGTCAATATTAAACTTTTGTTTTGAATCTTATGGATCTGAATATTCTTGCCACAATAAAGAAGATTACATGGATAAATATGTTAGGTAGCATTCCACAGCAAAAAAAAAATCTGTTTTTATCATTTACCTACTCGAGGACGAGCAGGAATTAAGCTTGGGGATGCTTGATACGTCTCCAACATATCTATAATTTTGATTGTTCCATGCTATTATATTATATGTTTTGGATGTTTTATATGCATTAATATGCTATTTTATATTATTTTTTGGACTAACTTATTAACCTAGAGCCCAGTGACAGTTTCTGTTTTTTCCTTGTTTTTGAGTTTTACAGAAAAGGAATATCAAACGGAGTCCAAATGAACTGAAAATTTATGGTGATTTTTATGGACCGAAAGAAGCCCACAGAGCATCGGAGTTGGGCCAGAAGAGTCCCGAGGCAACCACAAGGGTGGAGGGCATGCTCCCTGGCTTGTGGGTCCCTCGGGAACCCCCTGTCGTGAAACCGATGCCAAAAATTCCTATAAATACAGAAACCCCCGAAAAGAACCCTAGATCGGAAGTTCTGCCGTAGTAAGCCTCTGTAGCCATGAAAAACCAACCGGAAGCCCTTTCCGGCACCCTGCCGGAGCGAGAAATCATCACCGGAGGCCATCTTCATCATCTCGGCAGTCTCATGACGAGGAGGGAGTAGTTCACCCTCGGGGTTGAGGGTATGTACCAGTAGCTATGTGTTTGATCCATCTCTCTCTCGTGTTCTTGATTTGGCACGGTCTTGATGTACCGCGAGCTTTGTTACTATAGTTGGATCATATGGTGTTTCTTCCCCTCTATCTTCTTGTGATGAATTGAGTCTTGCTCTTTGAGGTTTCGTTATGTTGGGTTGAGTATTGGATTTGAGAACACTTGATGTATGTTTTGCGATGGGATATCTGTGGTGACAATGGGATGTTCTATTGATTCACTTGATGTATGTTTTGGCACTCAACTCGCAGATTCCTGAGGTGACATTGGGGTAACCTATGCATAGGGGTTGATGCATGTTTTTGTCCTACGTTCTTCGATAGAAACTTTGGAGTGATTCTTTGTTGCACGTTGAGGGATTTCCATATGATTTAGTTATGTTATCATTGTTGAGAGAATTTGCAATAGTGAAAGTATGAACCCTAGGCCTTGTTTTCAAGCATTGCAATATTGTTTTTGCTCACTTTTGTTACTTGCTACCTTGCTGTTTTTATTTATTCAGATTATAAAAACCTATATCTACTATCCATATTACCCTTATATCACCATCTCTTTGCCGAACTACTGCACCTATACAATTTACCATTGTATTGGGTGTGTTGGGGATAAAAGCGACTCTTTGTTATTTGGTTGCAGGGTTGCTTGAGAAAGACCATCTTCATCCTATGCCTCCCACAGATTGATAAACCTTAGTTCATCCACTTGAGGGAAATTTGTTGTTGTCCTACAGAATTCTGTGCTTGGAAGCCCAACACGAGTCTACAAGAAGAAGGTTGCATAGTAGACATCAGAGAGCCAGCCAACATATTTTTCTGCCGCTACAAGTTTCTGTTCTCATGAGATCCCATCTGAGGCCTTTTCCGACACTCTACCGGAGAGGGAATCGATCACGGAGGGGCTCTACATCAACCTTGCTACCCTTTCGATGATGTGCAATTAGTTTACCATAGACCTACGGGTCCATAGCTAGCAACCAGATGGCTTCTTCTCTCTCTTTGATCTTTAATACAATGTTCTCCTCGATGTTCTTGGACATTTATTCGATGTAATCCTTTTTTGCGGCATGTTTGTTGGAATCCGATGAATTGTGGGTTTATGATAAGATTATCCATGAATATTATTTGAGTCTTCTCTGTACTCTTTTATGCATGATTATCATAGATTTGTATTTCTCTCCGAACTATTGATTTGGTTAGGCCAACTAGATTGATTTAGCTTGCAATGGGAGAGGTGCATTGTGATGGGTTCAATCTTGCGGTGATCTATATCCCATTGACAGAAGGGGACAAGACATGTATTTGTATTGTTGCCATTAAGGATAAAACGATGGGGTTTATTCATATTGATTGAGTTTACTTTGTCTACATCATGTCATCTTGCTTAAGGCGTTACTCCGTTCTTTATGAACTTAATACTCTAGATGCATTGCTAGATAGCGGTCGATGTGTGCAGTAATAGTAGTAGATGCAGGCAGGAGTCGGTCTACTTGTCTCAGACATGATACCAATATACATGTCATTGCCTTAGATATCATCATGATTATTCACTTTTCTATCAATTGCTCAATAGTAATTTGTTTACCCATCATATGCTATTTTCCAGAGAGAAGTCTCTAGTGAAAACTATGGCCCCCAGGTCTACTTTAATCATAAATAAAAATCCAAAAATACATTGCTACAATTTATTTACTTTTATTTTATTTTGTGTTTTTTGTTTATCTATCTATCACTACAAGATTTAATCCTTGCAATTAACCATCAAGGGATTGATAACTCCTTGTTTGTGTTGGGTGCAAGTATTTGTTATTTTGTGCGTAGGTACCGCTGAAGAGTTATTGCGTGGTTCTCCTACTGGATTGATAACCTTGGTTCTTAACTGAGGGAAATACTTATCTTTATTGTACTACATTATCCTCTCCTCTTCGGGGAAATCCCAACGCAACTCACAAGTAGCATTCACCTATGTCTGAGTATCCAGACACCTAGAAGTTAGAGACCATCGTCCCTGATGGTCCTCAGAAGGTTGTTCATCATGTTCATGTGCTTGATAGGAAGAAGAAGAAGGGCGACTTGATGGACGAAGAGTTGAGCGTCTTTAGCAGCATGATTGAGGCCGTCAAAGAGGTAGCAACCACCATTAGGGATAACAAGTTTATTGACGTCCATTCTTCCTTGTACAGTGGCATCATGGAACATGGTGGCTTCAGTTAGGAGGTTTTGATGGCGGCTCTTAGCCACCTACGCTGGACAATATGGCACATGGTCTTGGGTTGGTTGGCATGGGGACGACCATAGGGTGCTCTAGCTTAGGACCTGACTATCCAAACACTACTACTAGTGCTCTTTTTGGTTGTGGTGACAACGGGCATGATGGTGACATGTGATGATGGTGGTGATGACATTTTATTGTAGCCATTGCTTAAAAGCTGTTGTTGGCGTGTATATTTTGATGAGGCGGTATATACTAACCCCTCATGCTGATAATGAACTTGCGGTGATAGGATTACACCCTCTTTTGGATGTGGTTGTAGGATTACACCGTAGTAGTTAGGACAAATGTTTATGGCTTTTGGGTATAAGATCATGCATGCTTATGTTGTTTTTGTTCCATGTGTTTTCTTCCTTTTCCATTGCTTCAGTTGTGCTCTTTTGTGATGCTAGGTGAGTGATGTGTGGTGTACATAGAGAGGGTTCTAGAAATTTACAGATCATGACAGACATGCCATGAACAAGTGACCGGTTACAAAGACAACTTCTTCCAAGTGTTTATGACTAGGTAGGAGGTAGAGGATGCTTACTCCAAGTTTGTGCTAAACCTGAAAAGCAATGTTGAAGCAGGCAAGACTACTAGTCAGTATGGGTTGTGTGGATGAAAAACTTCATCATCATCATCATCCAGTTTGTCGTGATTGTAGTGTTGTTCTATTGTTGTACTGTATGTAAGGTGCAATGAGCACTTGTTAGGATGGTAGATGGTAAGCTCATTACATATAAGGTTAGTAGATCTGGTCGAATGTATACAACCAGACAACATGCATCAACACAGCCATATGCATGCAACCCAATATAGGGAAGAGTTGGTGCTATCATGCATGCAGACCATATGCAGGATACCAAACCATGTGCACAACATGGTTTTCAGCATGCATTTACTCAGTCCGTTCAAGGTGAGCCATAGATGCAAAGAGGAAATAACGTTGTAGGCTACTAATTTTTTGAAGACAATTATGCGAAGCTTTATTAAACCGTCACAATGTTTACAAGGACGAAAAAAAAGTTCACTGGGGTGGCTTACCCAAACATGGCGATCGATCCCTAGTTGCAATGCATGCTTCGCTGGATTGTAAGCCTCGAAATTCAAGCTCCTAAACTCATGGACGAAATTACATAAAAATAAAGCTACTAAAGTATTATGTGATTTCATGTATAATAGCATCGTAACTGGATCCACTCTTCCATTTGATGGCCTCAATCACCACCTTGCAATCTGAAGCCACGTGGATGAAATATAGGTTTAGATCCTCTGCTAATGCCATTGATTCTCTAACTGCGAGTGCTTCCAATGTAGTAAGGTCAGAGATGCCCCTAAAAA